AGCGAAAGGTATTTGAGGTCCACGGTGTTTAGCGGTTCGAATGGGGGGGCTTTCATAGCTTCGAGAACTAAGGAAAGGTCCCAAATCGGCACCGAAGGGGGGCGCGGGGGGTTCATCCTTCTAGCTCCCCTGAGGAAGCGGATGACCAAGCCCTCTTTGCCCAGTGACTGGCCGCGCCGGGGTTCAACGAACGCTGCGACGGCTGCCACATACACCTTGAAAGTGGACGGGGACCTGCCCTTGTCCAACATCTCTTGGAGAAAAACTAGCAAGGAAGGGACCTCGCATGACCGTGGGTCCAAATTTCTGTCGGTGCACCATTTAGAGAACACAGACCATTTAGACGCATAGAGCCTTCTAGTAGAAGCCGCCCTAGCCTGCGTGATCGTGTTTAACACTCCCTCTGGCAAAGCGACGGTTAGTCGTTGATCACCCACGCATGTAGCGCCCAGCGCTCTGGGTGGGGATGCCAGATCGTGCCGCGAGCTTGGGAGAGGAGATCTGCTCTGACTGGAATGGGCCACGGGGCTGTCTGTGACAGCTGAGTGAGCTCCGGAAACCAAGTCCGACCCTCCCAACGTGGGGCTATGAGGAGCACCGAGTTGCGTGTTTCCCTGATTCTCTGAAGCACCTGTGGTAGCAGAGAAACCGGAGGGAATGCATAAAGCGGGCGGCTGGGTCAGGTCTGGGCTAGCGCGTCCTCGCTCTTTGAGAAAAATATTGGGCAGTGGGTGTTCTCTTCTGAGGCGAAGAGGTCCACCTCTGCTCTGCCGAATATTCGCCACAGCTTTTGGACTCTAAGTGTGTGCAGGGACCATTCCCCGGGGGGAATGGGGTTCCTGGACAGACTGTCTGGACCGTCGTTCAGATGACCCGGCACGTGCGTCGCTCTGAGCGAGAGCAGGTGACACTGAGACCAAGCTAAGATGCGTTCTGTCAGCTAGAAGAGAGTCCTGGATCTGACTCCGCCCTGAATGCGCGGAAGAAAGCGCGTAAGCGCGTTCTCGACCGCCAGCATCTCCAAACAGTTTATGTGGAGGAGACTCTCCTGAGCTGACCAGGGGCCGAAGGCCGGTGAGCCCTCGCAGACCGCATCCCAATCCGTGTTGGATGCGTCTGTCGAGATGACTTTTCGGCGAGAAAAGGTCCCCATGGAAACGCCCCGCTGAAACCATTCTGCCACGGTCCATGGCTGCAGAGTTGTGATACAGGTCTGCGTTACCTTTATCAGCTGGCGGCCCGTGGTCCACGCGCGGTGAGACACACGGCTCTTCAACCAGAGCTGAAGCGGGGGCATGCGCAGTAACCACAGCTGGAGCACCGCGGAGGCTGAGGCCATGTAACCCAACGCCTTCTGAAAAGTTTTCAGAGGTGTGAGTCTGTTCATCTGAAAAGATGCGGCGAGACGCTGAACACGCCGCGCGCGCTGTGTTGACAGACGAGCCGTCATCGTGACCGAGTCTAGCTCTATACCCAAGAAGGAGATAGTCTGACTGGGTTGTAGTGCGCTCTTTGTCCAGTTGACGGAGAGGCCCAAAGCTTTCAGATGGTCGAGGAGAACTGTACGATGAGACCGTAGCTCTCTCTGTGATTGTGCCAAAATCAGCCAGTCGTCCAAATAGTTCAGTATTCGAAGCCCCTGACTCCGCAGGGGGGCGAGCGCCGCATCCATGCACTTCGTGAACGTGCGGGGTGCTAGGGATAAGCCGACAGGAGGACGGTGTATTGATAAACCTGGCCTTCGAAGGCGAAACGTAAGAATGGCCTGTGAAGGGGATTTATCTGAATCTGAAAGTAAGCAACTTTCAGATCTAGTGAAATGAACCAGTCCCCCTGGCGCACGTGCCCGAGGAGTTTTCTGATAGTGAGCATTTTGAACGGTCTCTTCATGAGAACTTTGTTCAAAAATCTGAGGTCTAAGATTGGTCTGAGGCCGCCGTCTTTCTTTGGAACCAGAAAATAACGGCCGTAAAACCCCGACTCGCTCATAGATAGAGGAACTCTCTCTATAGCCCTTTTGCACAATAGTTTTGCTATTTCTGAACGGAGCAGAGTCACTGCTTCTGGGTTCACAATAGTTTCTAGCCGCGCTCGGAAACGTGGAGGGCGGCGGTGAAACTGTAAGCGATAGCCTAGCCTTATTGTGTTTAGCACCCACTGGGAAATTCCCGGAATAGCTTCCCACGCTTTGAAGCGTAACGCTAAGGGGTGAATGGCTACATAGTCCCCGTTGCTGCACATAGCGGGCTGCGCGGGCGCGCTCATAGTGTTTATGACAGCGGGACTTACACTCAGAGAGGAGTTTAAGGGCCGTGTAACAGAGTGAGCAGAGGTGGGACGCGCACACGGGCTCGTGGGCGCGCTTATGCACTCTGAAACTCAAGCGGGTTGGAACCGCTTTATGAGAGTGGGCTCTGTGAGACACACGGGAACTGAAATGCTTTTGTGTATGAGTGAACACAGTGTTGTGGGCACATTTTCTACACATGAGGCTTTTATGCTCTTTTTGAGATTTCTCTGGGTCGCCGTGAAAACGGCGTTTGTGCTCATGCAAGCGGGAAAGGGGACCGGCTTGGTAATGGCGGGGTACACTGCTGTAGTAGCCGCGTGAGCGGGGACTAACAGAGGGCGAAACTTTGACGGCGGTCCGGCCGCGGCGGGAGAGCGCCGTCTTTTCCTCAGCTGTGCTAGGCAGACTTCGAGTGATCAGGTTTCAGCGTGATCCTGGGCCGAGGCCCCCGGGGAGGCGGCGGTCTGTGGCGGCTGTCAGAGCGAGAACGAGGGCGGCCGCCCTGGCGTCGCTGAGAAGTCTGACTGTGCTGAGCTGGGCGCTGGGGCGGGGTTCGTGCAGGAGGCTGGTCACGTGAGCGGCCTGCAGAGGAGCTAGCGCGACGAGGCAGAAAAAGATTCATGGCCTGGGAGGCTTTCTGCACTTCGGAGAAACGGTCAACGATACCCGTGACAGCAGATCCGAAGAGGCCGGATGGAGAGAGCGGGGCATTGAGAAAGGCGGCGCGCTCAGAATCTCCCATGTCGTCGAGTGTGAGCCACAAATGTCTTTCAGACACACAAATGGCGGCCATGCATTTCCCCAGGGCTTGAGCAGCAGATTTTGTAGCGCGAAGGGCAATGTTCGTGGCGCTCCTCAAATCCGTGACTGAGGGGGGATTTTTTCCGCTCTCGTCCCATTCACGAAGTAAATCGCCCTGTAGAATCTGAAGGACGGACATGGAGTGGAGTGCAGAGGCTGCTTGGCCGGCGGCTGAGTAAGCGCGGGCGTGAAAGCTCGAAGTCGCTCTGCAGGCTTTAGAGGGAAGCACAGGTGATGAGCGCCATCTCGTGGAAGGCGGGCATAAATGTGCGGCGACCAGGTCCTCTAGAGGGGGAATGGAGAGATAGCCCTTTTCTGCGGCTCCGTCCACAACGCGAAGCGGGGCGGAAGAGTCAGAGCGAGTTCTGGCAGAGAGCGGGGCATTCCAGGACTTTGTGAGTTCCGCGTGCAGTTCAGGCAGGAAGGGCACGGCCTGTTTAGTGACGGGAGTCGAGCGCTGGCGGAAGTAGCTGCCGTCCATACGGTTGATGGTCTGCTCGGGGGGAGGGGACCAATCGAGCCCGAGGCGTTCGACGGCCTGTGAGAGGAGGCGCACTAATTCCTCCTTGATTCCAGCGTGGGTCCCAGAGGATTCTCGGGCCGAGGAGGCGTGAGAACCGGACCATTCCTCACTGTCTGAAGCGAGAAGCGAACAGGTTTCCTTGATGTCCGCGGCGTCATCGGAGGCGACAGAGCGGCCACTCGGCGGCAACTGTACGTCCGGAAGCGGCGGAGAAGGAGAGCGGGAGGCGACAGGCTCCGGCGGGATGAACGCTTCCAGTTGTGGTTCCGGCGGCCTCTGAGAGCGGCGTTTCTTCTACCGCGGCGAAGTCAGAGGCGGCGCGGAAGCAACTTTAGTGGCCTGAAGTCGAGCCCGCAGGGTCGACAACGGCATCTCCTCGCAGAGAACGCAGCCGCCATCGGCGAGGGCGAGCTCGGCGTGCTCCAATCCGAGGCAGAGGGCGCAGATGACGTGGCGGTCTCCAGTTTCGAGGGGAGCGCGGCAAGAACCGCAGGAAGATTTACGAGACATCTTTACAAAGACGCTCGGCTCTTTTAGATACAATACAATACAGGAAGCTTTTTCGTAAAAAGGATACAAATCCGTCGGATGGCGCTAGCTCGCAGGACGGCTGAAGGTGGCGAAGACAGCCGGCTTCCTCAGTCTCCCAGATGCTCGCTAGAGGTGCCTTTTCGACGACGGCGGCTTCTCTCAGGATCAGCAGATGCGTGTAGCCTCGCTGAAGAGATGAAAATCAGTGTTTACAGCCTGAGAGGCGAATTTATGAGTGTTTACAGCCGTTTTGGCGGGCTCTGACGCAATGAGAGCATGTCAGACTCTCATTGGCCGAGAGTTCATTCGCGTCTCCTCATAGGCTTAAGCAGTTCTCTGTGAGCGAACCAATGAGCTGCTAGCTAGCCCGCTCATGGTCTGCTGCAGCTGAACTGCATTGACAATGGATACAAAATTATAGGATAATTTTTTGGCTTCAATTTCTCAGAAAAGATTAATCTTTCCCGTAGCGTAAACTAGCTTACGCAATACGAGAGAACCTCTCGTAAGAGAACTACGTTCTGTGTGAACACATCACATGCACACTCATTGAATACTTTAATATACTGCATATACAGACCTATAGCAAGTTACTAAATATGAGAACAAACTCAAGAGCAACACTAAAAATAGAATTAGCGAATGGTTATTATTCATGAATGTAAATGAGACTGAACTACTTTTTTTTTCATGTGTAGGCCTATTTTAACTAAATATCTATACTAGTTGATTATAATAAACTATTCATTGAATATTTTTTAGCCTATTAATTCTCTATCTTGAAATTTTTTTTCTGCTAAAATGTGTATGTTCTTACATGCCATCTCTCTGTTTCTCTTTCTTTTTCTGTCTCAGGGGTCATAAGAGTTGCCTTACCTAATATGGATAGGGAGGTTAAAGAAATGTACCAGGTGGCCATACAGGCTAAGGACATGGGCGGTCAGCTTGGGGGCTTAGCTGGAACCACTACCATCAATATCACTCTCCGTGATGTCAATGACAACCCACCGCGGTTTTCTAAAAGTATGTTCAAAAACAGATCTTTCTAGATGTGCAGGAATCATTATAGAACACCCTGAGGCTTACAGTATACTGTCAGCATTTCTATATCAGCAGCAGTTTATCCCTGGGGTTTATCTTAATGTGAATTTAATCTGGTTTGCTCTGTGGAAACCTTAAACATGAGTCCATTATTTGAATTGTTTAATTCAGTTAATGGCAGTCACTGATAGCAGAGATGGGCTTTCTTTAAAACAGGGACTGAACAGTAATGCATGACCTGAGAAGAACCTCAGATTTACAATTGGCCATGATTAAGAACTCAAGGGTTCTTGCCAAACACAAACAACAAACAGAGTTTATTTTTGCCAATGTGATTAGCATTCCAGCACTTTTCTCCAGAGCGCCTGAAGTGATTAGAGGATGATTATTGTTAACTGTGATGTCTAAATGTAGAGGGTTATGACTATTCCTGAGGGGAGAATGTGATTACTGATAAAGTTGTTTGTGAATTTCAACAGGTATCTTTCACTTGCGTGTTCTTGAATCTTCACCTGTGGGCTCATCGGTGGGAAGGGTTAAAGCTCATGATCTTGACTCTGGGAAGAATGCTGAAGTGGAATATAGCATTGTTGCTGGTGATGGGAGCTCCATGTTTGACATTTACAGCAATAAGAACACACAAGAAGGAACAGTCATTCTGAAAAAGGTAGAGTATGGCTTCTTGTAGTCATTTTCGGTCTCAGAAAAATACGATTAGGTATGTGGCTGTTTTTTACTGTATATTTACACTACCGTTCAGACGTTTATTTTAAAAATGCTATTTTTCTCATGGTGGCAAAGCTGAATTGTCAGCAGCCATTATTTCAGTCTTCAGTGGCACATCATGATCCTTCATAAATTATTCTAATATGCTGATTTGGCGCAGAAACATATTATATTATTATCAATGTTGAAAACAGCTGTGTACTCAATATTTTCAAGGATTCTTTCATGAATGGAAAGGTTTTTATTTGAAACAGAAATCTTTTGTAACATTAAAAATGTCTTTACTGTCACTTTTAATCAATGTAATGCATCCCTGGTGAATATTAATTATTAATTTCCTTAAAAATATTACTGTCCCTTTTGAACAGTATTGTACATTTATTTATTATTAACATTTTATAACATTTATATTGATTTATTTTTCATGTATTTCTTCTTTCTTCTTTTGTTCGTATTTAAATATATGTGAAGATGAATGAGGTTTGAGAGCTATAGAGCAGTGCCGGTTCTGGACTCTGGGGGCCCTAAGCAAAACTTTGTAATGGGGCCCCTGTCAATGCATTCATAAAAAAAAATAAAAAATGACCCCCAATATGATCTTTCAGAGCAGTTTCAGTCAACAAACAACTGTGAGTTGAAACAGTCAGTAATAATACTATATAAAAATTACAAACGATAGGGCAAATACAATAGCAAAAAATACTCATTAAAGAAACAATTTAGCCTACTAGTAATAATAGCCTATACAGAAATTGAATAAAGTATCAAATGTAAAAATAAAAGTCTGTATAGTCTTATTTAGGCTATATTCTAAATTAAAAATACTTTGATTCTTAATAAAGTTACTAAAGTTATTCAGTAAAGAGCAGTGAATTGTTGAACTCTTGTTTTTTTTGTTTTTTTTTTGATTAACACTAAATGGCACAGACATCAGGTATATTAGGCTGCTGTCACTTTAAGACCAAATGCACAGATCTAATACACTGACAAGCATTGGATTACTTACTTACTTACCCAACTGTTTATGTTCACTTAACCCTTTGACGCGTACGATCACACCGGTGTGATCAGTCTTGGCTGGTCCCTGGAGCGTACGATCACACCGGTGTGATTAGAACGGTCAGTGCATCACGTGATCAACTGCTAAATTCAAACGTGCTTTCGCGCGTTGGCTGGCGCTGAGCCAGAGAAGGACGCACTCAGTGCTGTCATATATCACAACTATTGAGTATTTTAAACCACATAATGTTTATTTTAGGGTTCAGACATTTAAATACACATAAGTACTAGCAAAACAGTGATTTTGAATTAGTAAAATAGACACTGATGTCTATGGAAACGGCAACAATAATCATTTCCATTATAATAAGACGAAACGTTTTATTCATATCAGATACACATTGTGTAAGTAGCTTTACATTTGACCCTATTCTTCTCCCAGTTCACCGGCCACTTACTTTCATGTATTTCGTGAGAAACAACAGATCCGATTCTCTGAACTGTGAAACAAACTAACATGGCGCCGCCCATCGCGCATACAGCTCAACTAACGCGATCGTTATAAAGATGTTTAAACAACAAAACACATCCCCTTGCACATATTTGACAATCGGAATATCAGTGTTTCATGCTGTAGCTAATACATTTGTGAATATTTTGAATAGAAAAGGAAAAAAGACATAAAAGCAGATCATCACTCATTCAGCTCTGTGTTGTGATTGCGCTGTGTCACGTGACAAGAAATGACGCGTCACCATGGAAACATTAAAGTGACAGGTTCTAAATAACGGTCGCCTTGAAAAACTCACGCTGGGGGGTCAGTTAGAATATTTTAAACTTACGTGTGAAAGGGTTAAGACATAACTGAAAAACTTGGTGACATTTTTGAGTGCATTTGTCCATTTGTCCACACCCGAAGCCCAAATAAGCCTATTGTCTGTGTTTCGCTCCATCTCGGATTGCACGGACAGAAAGCCGCCTGGGGAGCAGCATTTCTTTCGCAGCTCAATATGCTTTTACCTTTTTGTTGTTGCTGTTTTTTTGTTTTTCTTTGTTTTTTGTTCCATGATTTGATATGGATGCTATGCAAGGGGCGACAGCGTACTGCTTTAAGGGAAAGGAATGGAATGCGGCATCGTGTTTTCAGAATAGTTGGAGGCCAAAGTCAAAACCGAAACTATCACATCCCTAGTCATTAAATCATCTTTGAGAGAAAGGGGGCCCCCTGGTGGTTTGGGGGCCCTACGCAACTTGCATACTTTGCGTATAGGGAGGACGGAACTGCTACTGGGGTAGCCTGGGAAAACCCAGACAACTTCCAGCAAATTTAGATTTCCTCTGAAAGTTAGTCTGGCAAAGAGCTCATTCAAGCTCATTTCCAATCCGTCGAAATCGCGGCACCAATCAGAAACGTTGGGGCGGGCTTTACACGATGACGACAGCGCTGGGATTTTGAATCAGATTTTGTAGCCTACATTACAAAGATGGATGCCGCCGTCGAACATCACTCGTTCGAATCAGCTAGCGCGTCTGTTTTAAGCGATTTGAACGTTTCCTTTTAGTTAAAAACCGAGCAAAGAACAACACTCGGAGATGTGTTTCGCCGCTCTGCATACGTCATCTCCTTCATCGCTCTGATTGGTTTAGTTCTATCCACGACGTCCGTTGGTGACGCCCCTCTGGAAATGATTTGTCTATGATGCTTTGCCAGACCATAACTCAGTTACAACTGAGAATGGTCTGGTTTTAACCAGGCTACTACTGGGGAGAAGAATGTCAGAGAATAATGACTTAAATTTATTTCTCGTACAAATCTATTATGACTAATAATATAGCGCACGGATATATACCACAGTTAATTTTTAATTCTTTGACAGCATTTGGATGTTTGTTTAGGCAATATTTATATTCTGGCTAAGGCCGGGTGACATCAGATGCAAATCACAATTCCATTTGCATATCTTTTTCACACACGTGAATTCAAGAATGATAGCAATAACCCCTTGTGCTCCTTCATTCAGGGGCTTGTGTGTGTTTACCCGAGGTGAGTCATATCTTATTACTGGATGGCCATCCAAAGCATCCTTTATGAATAATGCATAAAGCCATAAAAGTGTGAATGCTTAACCCACACTACGCAATGCCTGCTCTTGGACTTATCAATTCATTATGTTCTTTGTGGTTGTCCTTAGAACATTGCTTTCCCATTCCTGTTTTGCCAACATGTTTAAAAAAAAAAAAAAAAAAAATGTGGATTTAAAAATCAGGGGATTTAAAAATACATTGTTTGAGCTTCCCCAAGAAAGTGCCCAATATTTTTTAGATTTAGTGGACATGAATAAATGAGTGCGACCATGGCCATCAGAGCATCTACGTCGTCTTGATATGATGCGACAAGTAGAAATCCCTTCAGACGCACATGGCCAATCATAGATGTGCTGGCTATAAATGCTTAGCTGAAACAAATGCCTTGGTAAAGGCGTGTGGATGAGGCTGGAGTGCTCTCATCCTCCAGGGAGTAGAGAGGTTACTCTTTCATTACTCAAAGTTAGTGTAGTCTGTGGACACATAATGACAGGCCACTGCTGCTATTCATCTCTCTCTCTGCAGCAGATGGAGAGATGCATATGACGAATATAAAAGCATTTTAGGGGGCTATGCCTGGTTTCATAGTACATTCCATATATATATATATATATATATATATATACACACTATATATATATATATATATATATATATATATATATATATATATATATATATTGTACCCTATTTGTGAAATGGCCCCAAAATTCATTATTTAAAATGTCATCAACAGTAAATTATAAAAGGCACAATGAAAATATTAGTCTGTCCTTCATTCTGTCTTTTATCTCCACTTTTTTATTCCCCAGGCTGAGGCTGTACAGGACACAGAGACATAGTCCTTACATTGCAAAATGGATGTGCCATATCTGGTGACCCAAAAAAAAAGTCTGGAAATGGAAATGTGGGATCCTCACCGTGGGGCATGGAAGAGGGTCAATGACAATGAACCCTTCTTCCCTCTGTCCTCAATAACATACTTCCCTCTCCCTTTATTTCTCTTTGATGAGCTGTTCCATCATGCCCCTGCTCTAAACAGGGACTTTTCTGAAATACTAAGGCTGAACATTTGGAGTCTCGTGGCTTTATGGGCTCAGTGCTGGTTTGAGCATAAAGAGGATCTACTGAGGTAATGGGTTCAAGGGATAACTGTCTCTATATTATCAACAGGATTGAAAGGTGGGCTTTGTTCTGGCAACGCAATTCCTTCCTCAATGAAACAATTTTGTACAGCAGTATAGTTTTGAAAAATTAGTTTAAAATGATGTACACACATATGAGATGAAGAATCCAGTCATATCAGCAGCATAATAAAAACTGTTTTATTGTACTGTACATAGAGCGGACGGTAACTTTAAAAATGTGCGGTCACACTTTACAATATGGGTGAACTAATAAGCATTAATTCATGCTTAACTAATGCACAGATAATACTGAATTAATGTGTAACTAATGATTATCTAAGTTATTCATTAATGATTACCACATTAGGAACTAATTAAGAGTCTGTAAGGTTAATGTATTAGTTCATACATGAATTGTTATTAATTAAATATGTAATTGTGGATTAATTCCCTAATAACTCATTTTTTTAACTAATAGTGTTAATTAATATGTTAATTACCAGAATGAGCCAAAGCCTTGTATTTCAACTTCCAGATAATACAGGTACACTAATATCCATTAATACATGATTAATTACTTCATTGTTAGTGCAAAGTTAAAATTACTACAATTACTAAATGAGTAATGACTAGTTAATAATGATGTGCCTCAACAAGTAAAGTCATGACATAATGATACCTTTGCAAATCATTAGCTAATGATTAATTAAAGCAGACAACTGGAAGTTGA